TATAAGTCGCTCCCAGAGCCTAAGGAACTGAATCAGCGCTTACGAGCGCATCGAATTCTGAGCCAAAAGGAGAAATCTACTCCCTTCGTCGAGTTACTTTCAGCTCAGGAGTGGAGGGCAAATGAGGGCGGACTTGGCCCTCCAATGACATTATGACACCTGGCACCTCATGACAACTAGGTGCAGCCTGGCACTTCATAGGCAGCACACCATCATGCAGCTTGGCACCTTACAGACAGCCTGGCACTTCACAAGCAGCTCGCCATCATGCAGCCTGGCACCTTACAAACAACCTGGAACTCACAGGCAACTCACCATCGTGCAGTCTGGCAACTTACAGACAGCTCGACACTTAATAGGAAGCTCGCCACCAAGCAGCCCGACACTCCACAGGCAACTCGCCACCAAGTAGCTCTGCACCTCACAAGAAGCTCACCACTAGGCAGCCTGCCATCATGCAGCCTGGCACCTTACAGAGCCTAGCACTTCATAGGCAGCTCGCCATCATGCAGCCTGGCACCTTACAGACAACCTGGCACTCACAGGCATCTCGCCATCATGCAGCCTGGCACCTTACAGACAGCCTGGCACTCACAGGTAGCTCGCCACTAGGCAGCTCGCCATCATGCAGCCGGGCAACTTACAGACAGCTCGGCACTTCACAGGCAGCTCGCCACCAAGTAGCCCGACACTCCATAGGCAGCTCGCCACCAAGCAGCTCGGCACCTCACAGGAAGTTCGCCATTATGTTACGGTCTGACACAGGCTTAGCCTTGCCTACGCTTGGCGGCTTACATTAAGGGACACCATCGTCATTTTTTGCCTGTAAGATTTTTGGGAGAATTGATGTCATCTTCAGGCAGACCACCAAAAGCTTAGCGTACTCTTTGAGGAGGGGTGGTCGACCTCCTTGGGTGCCTAACCTTGGCACTCCTAGACCAACTTCCCTTGCGGGGCAGCCCTGGTTAATGGCTAGCATGGCTACCAGGGTTCCTCATGGGTGCACACTTGCTCATGGGGGTAGTGCATGGACCGGCACTGCGCTACCGACACTCAAGGGAGGCTTGGCATGTGGGCCTGGCTCAAGCACGACCCTTCACCTCACCAGCCCCTTGCCCAAGCTGAGTGAGCTACCCCGTTGCCTCTAGCGCACGAGTGTGTTCTGGCCCAAGTGGTTTCCTATCAACATGGCACACAGGTACCCATCATCATCGGCATACAGGAGACCCTTCACATCGGTGCTCCGTCACCTCTTCGACGCATAGTCGCCTCACATCATGCCGTCCCCCTTTAGCACGTAAGTGGCGCCTCCCATGGACCGGCCAGAGCCAACCGAGTGCCCTGGCCATGCGACTTGAGGTCATGATCCAATGCTACTGACCTTGGTGGAGCTATCTCATTGGGCAACTCCTAGCCTNCCAGTCACCTCTCTTTGGCTTACAGTTGCCTCACATCCTGGCTTTCCCCCTTTAGCACGTAAGTGGCGCCTCCCATGGACCGGCCAGAGCCAACCGAGTGCCCTGGCCATGCGACTTGAGGTCATGATCCAGTGCTACTGACCTTGGTGGAGCCATTTCATCGGGCAACTCCTAGCCGACAAGCACACAAAGGCTTGTCCTGGCCTACCTTGGCCTGGATGCTGCACGAGTTTCTTCCACTGTAGAACTACCCGCCGTGACAGTTGGTATCAGAGCAAGCTAGCCAATTGCAGCCACAGTTGGTGTCAAGCAGATTAGCCCAGAGCCAGTTGAAGCAGTCATCACGACAAGCAGCACATTGTCGGGTGCGGTCCCTAAGCACTTCCACCCATGATCGAGCAGAATTCAGATCAGGCCTGGCAAGAGGCCATTCATTGTTGGTGTCCCCATTCGAATGACCCTAAAACAGCTTCCCTTGTGGGGGCAGACGCATTGGTTGCTGTGCTCATGCGGGGGCAGACGCGTGAGCCTTTCTAGAAGGCATATTGTGGTGGTTTGAGTGAGGGAGTGGCATGCTTCCTCACGGACTTCAGTTGCTGTTCATTTTAGTGAGTTGTGGGCGGTGCGCCTACATCTTGGTTTCATGACTGATGAGCCATTGTTCCGTAGCTTTGTCTAAGGCACTACTAAG